TATATATATATGATAACTACAAGACTACAAAGATGTATAATCAATTCAAATATTAATTAAGAAAATAAAATATAAATTATTAAATTAAAAATTATTAAATTAAATTGAAATGATTTCAACTCAAATCTTACGTGATTAGGGTTTGTTTACATTTTGTTCACGAGTAGCTCTTGTTCGGCTGTTCTACACCCCACGTCCTCTCGGGATTCAGCCCAGCACAGTCCACCTCCATTGTCCATAGCCTGCCATACCTTCGGCTTCACCCAACAGTGATTTCCTTACACCCTAATTCGCGATCATTCTCAGTTCGCCGTGCTCCATAACCCTGATTTGGAAATCCGTCCCATCTTTGATTTCTCTCCGTTCCGATTCTTCTCACAATCCATGGAATCTGCGCTGGAAATCATCGAGATAAGCTCCAATGAGAATGAAGATATCAGGTTAAAGATTCCGGAGGAATCCACTGTACATCACTGCGGGGAAAGAAGGGGAAAAGACGGTGGTTGTAATGACCTGATGATGCCCGAAGCTTCACTTGATGTGTCGGATGACGAGGACTGCGTGATTCTCGATGGGGCTCCTAAAAGTGTGGCAGCAGATTCAGAGTTTGTGGAGCTCGGGGGTGAGATGTTGGATGAGATGCTTATTGTTGGTGAGAAGGGCCAGGTAACAAATGATGGAATTGAATAATTGTTTTGAATGCATTGTGTGCGATGAATTTTCAGCTCAACTGGGGCTTTTGTTGTTGTTGAGGCGAACTTCTACGCTCTTGATTAAACAAGCTTTAGGTTTTCGTTTTTGAATCCTCAATTCAACGTGCATTTTGAATCACTTTCATTCTTTATTTTTGTTGCTTTTCCATTAAAAGAAACACAAGCTTTTTGGGAATCTTATATGAAAAAAGAAATCAACTAGGATTCTTTTTATGTTTTGTTTTGTTTCTTCAAATGTGCATGGATTTTAAGATTTTATGAATAAGAATGTTACTTTGTCCTATTTTGTAAACAACAACAATTAAGATAGTTCAAATTTAGGCAATGAACCCCTTAAAACCCTGACATCGATGCCCCATTTGTTTGCAACCTAAGCAAATTCAACTGAAACTTATGGCAACCCAAGGATTGCTTCCTATGTGCCAATATTTTAAGGTTCTATATATGAGTTCAAATGAGTCCTGTTGGATGGGTTGAGTTTAACTTGACTTCATAGATCTAGCATGGGTTCTTACTTACATTGATCGAGATTAGACTTAAACTTAATCTAGCGAGGACTTGGATTATTCAAGCTCTAGCTTAGGCTTGAACTTAGATTGATTGAGGTTGGTTTTAGTAGATTGAAGTTATGTTGGAATGAGAGTGGGCTAATATTCTTAGAAAATGAAGCGGATGAAGGTGAAATTAGAAATAGCTACAAATTTATAATATTGTTAAGAAATCAGAGAGAGATTTGGGGAAGAGATAAGTTGAATTGAGTATTACCATTTTCTAGCTCATTCATTCAGTTTCTTGAATTTTTTTTTTTGCTTTGTCCAAGCCATGCTTGAATATGTCTTAAACTTTTGTCCAAATTTTTACAATTAAGTGTAAACATATTTATTTATTTGCTTGTCTAGCTCAATTCATATTTGAACATTAGTTGAGCCTAAATAATTATGACAAAGATAATGATTTAAACATTTAATTTTATTACTGAAGAAAAATATATTTAGTTGTGATCAAATTTGACATAGTTATTAAGTTTTATTTCTAATATTTTTCTTAAGGTTAATAAAGAACAAAAATCCAATTTTGTAATTAGCTTTTTTTCTTAATATAAATTACCATCATCCATCAAGTGGAAGCAAGTTGAGAAGAACATATATTATGACACTAAAGAAGCTGCAAACAACTATTAATGAGCATTTTTATCCAGCTCTTGTAGATCTATTAATTAAATAGCAAACATTCATATTAATGTGCATTAATAAATGAGTGGAGCAATGCATAAGCTCATTTATTAATAATTGAAGCTTTCTAAAGGGCCTGTAATATTGTTTAGTTTTTAAATAAATAGACATAATTAAGTCTTATACAAGTTAGTGTCGAGCTGTTTATCAAGAGCATTAGTTGGCTTAAACCATAATTTCTGGCAACTCAAGCATTACTCAGCAGGATTTTAACAAAATAAGCATCATTATTTGGGTTCTTAATAACATAAACATCATGTCTTAGTTTTTCATACGTAGAGTGTTATTTTTAGGATTAGCACACTAAATGCTCCTTCTATACAATCTATATATATATATATATATATTGATGGGGGTTCTAGGCAGAGACTAACATGCAGGCTCACCAACATTTTAGGAGGGGCTAGAAAGGAAAATTATTTTAAGTTATAAAAAATAGAAACTCGAGGATTGCTTTATGAAAACCCACAAGTGTTGTCTTCTTCTTAAAAAAAAAGGTAAATTATTAGAGTTTTTAGCAAATTTCCTAAATTGTTCATTCTACTTGATGTATATTCTTTTTTTTATATAAAGTAGCCCATTTTATTATTTTTTAAACAACTAAAAAACAGATAACATTGATTGGTTGGGGTCTTACTCAAACTTTCCAAAAAACCCTTCCTGTTTTTTAAAGAAAAGAAATAGAACAACAAACATATTTGCTTAGCATATTATTTAGTACTGACAAAAAAATATTTAAAAAAAGCCCTGATATTGGGTGCAGGAGGGAGGGTTTTGGTGAGGGGAGGGAAATGAAAAAAATGCTTGAAAGATCAGGTTTTTTTTTTGTCAGAGGTTATGTCAGGATAATATGATGGGGAGTCGGGAAGTTTGTGAACAGTGGGCTGGAATTCAAAATTATTTTGTCGGCTGATTCAGATTGCAGCCAACATCACGATTACTCTTGAAGGCATAGAATTAAGAGCTCATTTGGTTTGCCAAACATATAATTTTATGTCATTAAAAGATGCTAGTTGTTTTTTTTTTAATTATTATTGTGATATATACTAAGAAAAAACTTGTAAATGATATATAGGCCCTATTTTTTATAACATTTGAATATTAGCTAAATCTGCTTACATATAAATGTTATGATATCCAATTGCTAAGATGAACTGAAAACAAAATGGAATATAAATATAACAACAACAACAACAACAACAACAACGGAGAATATCTGGTAACCGGAGAAAACCTTTCAGTTTGTTCTAAATTTACTTGGAGTATGCTTAAATATTAGTTGTGGTAGATAATTTTTGTTTTTTAGTGTTGATGAAGTTATGAGAAAGATTATGGTTGTTTATTAACCTTCAACTGGATGAGGAAATATGTTAAGAAATTGTAGTTGCCACTGTATTAAAATTATGATTCTCTCTTCTGCATCCTTGCAGTGAGGAAAATAATGTAGGCCTTTGAATACATAGCTGAATATTTTTGTTTGAATTCTAGCTGTTGATACCTGTCTCAAACCTGGAAAATTAGAAAATGAAGCAGCCAAAATATTTTCAATGGCCTATGTTTTTTATGTAATGCCAATTATTTTAGTGGCATGTATGTAAACATGCAAGTTTAGGTGCTAGATATGTAAATATATAAGGACTGTGTGGTGTGTAAGTAGATGCCCCCAAAATAAATTAAACTTTAACTTCACTGAAAGAAGTTTTAACATCACTGAAAAAACTTGAAAGAAGGCTTCTAAATTCCCGGCTTCGTGCAAATACCCGGCTTGCTTTTTACATGAATATTTTATTATGATTTTGCATAAATTTTTTAGCATGATGCATTTTCCTTTCTTACATGATTTATGAAGTCAGTTTTCCTTTATTTTTTATTACTGTAGTGATTTTTCAATCATAGAACCAAATAAAAATTTTATATTCATTTCAAAGGAGAACTCGATCAGTTATCTTATGTGTCCTGCCTAAGAAAAAGTTGAGTGTTATACATCTATTGAAGGTAAGGCAGTTAAAAGCTTAGGTGTGAGTTATGTAAATACATGAGAATTGTGTGCTGCATATGTAAATTTCCCAAAAATGTTATCAAATCAGTAACTAATATTCAATGTTCTCGATTACCATGCAGTTTGCCTGCAGGGATTATCCACATCCTCGGTATGCCTGCGCTACATTCTTGTTCACCATGACTCCACACGAAAAGCATTGTGATATGGTTAGGTCCTCCACCTGCAATCTCATCTTTTTTCTTACACAAAATGAAGTTCTTCTATTCTCATGGTATGAGTTTTCTTATTATATTTTACATTTTTCACCTCTTAATTCTGAAAATTGCAGTGCCACTGCTATGTTTGTGACTGCCCGGCACCTTGCACCTACTGGGCAAGCCATTGCAGTTCAACTCACAAAGAACATTCTTGGAGAATCGAACGGCTGTTATTCAGGAAAAGAAAGAGAGAACAACAGAATGTTCTAAGGCTTATTCGACAACAGGATGAACAAATGGACCGTTTGGAGAAAAAGATGGAAGAAATGATGGCCGCCATAACGAGGCTACAGAGCCAGCCCCAATCACCCAAAGTGTTGCCCCCAAAGGTTCGCCAGCCGGAAGCAGTCCAAATTGCTGACAGTAAGAAGGAATTCACTTTTGTTAATAGAGATGATCGGCTGAAGAAAGATTCAGTTCAAGCTTCAGAAAATGACATCAAGCAAATTGTTGAACAACAGGTGAGAGAAGCCATGTCTCAGTCAAAAGGAGGGGCATCAATTTTGAAGGGTAGACCTTACCCGGAAGAATTTGATGCCGTCCAATACCCCAAGGGTTTCGTACTACCATCGTTCAAGACATTTGATGGAACGGGAAACCCCCGACAGCATGTTGCACATTTTCGAGCAAGTTGCTGCAACGCGGGCGGTAGTGATGCATTGTTGTGTCGTCAATTTGTGATCAGTCTTTTGGGTGTTGCTTTTGACTGGTACGCAGAATTACCCAATAACTCAGTGAAAACATTTGCAGAATTGGAAAATCTATTTGTTAAGCGGTTCGCTGGACCTCAACACCATATCACCGTCGTTGATCTTGTTGCGGAACGACAGAAGCCAACCGAAACTTTGGTGGAATACATCCTACGTTGGAGAAACTTGAGCATGAAATGTGTGCCGCAGCTTCAGGAGCAGGACGCAATCAAAATTCTTCTAAAAAGTATTCATGGACCGGTAGCCTTTCTACTCAAAGGGTTCACGATTAAGACTTTTGAAAAGCTACTTAAGAAAGCCGGGAGTCTTCAAAACGAGGCTATACAATTTGATTTTTTTGAGGAAGCCGAAAAGCTAAAACCAGTGAAAGCATTTGAAAAGAAATCTGAAATAGTGGCAGCAGTTGGCAGAGGCAGGCAACCAATGCAGATACAGGCAGAATAGTCACGACAGTACTACCCGCCTCCCCAACAGCACGAGCAATAGACCTTTCAGCAAAAACCGTACAAAACAAACGGAAGGCCACCTTTGACACTAGCCAAACGTATGAACAAAGTGTACCCATTCAAGAACGAGACACTGGGGAAAATGTTCCGCAATTTGATGAAGAAGTCCAAAGTCAAATTGCAATTTTGGTGATATATTTCTCTACATTTTTCATGAAAGTGATTGTATGCTGATTATTTTGCAGGTCTTTTATCCACATTTGTTTCCTACCTTGTACGGGGAAGAATGTCTTTATAGTGTATGGATTCAGTGATTGATCTGCAAAATTTAATTGCAAAATCATAAATGATTTTCAGGACTTCACCCAGTAGACTATTCAAAGTTCACCTGTCTTCTCATTTCTTGATGGTCATGCTGTCTATATCATTTCCATGGTGATTATGAGAAGGTTAATCCTTGAAATTTTTGATGAGAGGAAAGGGAAAATATCAAAATACCTCCCAATCATTTTAGTTGCAACTCTCAACATTAATATAGTTATTTATGAATAACAAAGATTACATAGCATTATTTGAAATCTATATGTTTTGGTTGTGTTTCACCTTTTGATAAGCACTAGGGAAATCTAGATGCATATTACATAATCCTCTTGTATTTACATATCTAACCCCCAAACTCTGGGAAAATTATTCCATACGGACAGCGTACGCAGAAATGCATATGTTGTCCGATCTCTACGATCGATTAATTTTCTTTAAAAAAAAAAAATATGGGATCCATCGAAATACAGTCTTGCTCTGATGGACGGTGGGCCCTTAAACTTTAAATCTAACACCTAAACTTTGCTTTTTTATATTAATGCAACCCCAACTCTTTCATATCACATAAAAAAATATAATCATTTTAAATTTTTAGAAGTGAAATACATGTTGTTTAGGCATGAATAAGGATTTACGTGGTATGTAGTTAAGTCCTCCATTAAATTTTAAAAAGTGAAATAAATGAAAAGGTAAGGTGGTATGTATATAAATATTGAAGTAAAAATTGAAGTATGGGTGTTAGATATGTAAATATATAGGGATTGAGTGGTATGTATGTAAATCTTTCTATTAAAATTAATTAAAGCTTACAGAACTAATCTCAGCAATTAATTTGAATAAAAAAAAGTAGTTTCATTCACATCAAACAGATTGGGAGAATTCCATTTTTGAGATAAAAGGAAATTACCGTACAATTTATTACTTACATTTCTAACACCTAAAATTTGATATTTATATTTATAACACTGGCAGTTAAAACTTATGCATCTGATTTAAAAAAAATGGATAAAAATGTCTCAAAAAATTATTAAAACTATTATGAGATGAATATAAAATTTGAGAAACCAGATAAATTCTATACTGCAATAATCAAAATTTTCCTCTGAGACCATTTTGTCTCTACTCTAAGGTCCGTTTGGGGCAGCTTATTTGGTGCGGTGGTATTTTGAAAACGCACTTGGTCTGTTTGGGCAAACTGCGTTTTGACAACTTATGCGTTTTTAAAATGCCAAAAACAGTTTTTTTCACACTGCACCCATCTAGGTGCGGTGACAACTTTCTGACAGCCATCACACCTAGCTTATCCATAAATTATTTTTAATCAGTTTTTCAGCAGATTATTCAATAAATTGCAACTTAAGAGAAATCATCACGTTTTTTAAAATTTGATGGCGTCTTCAATAAATATCATAAATCATTAAATGACGAAAAAACTGATTGAAATGATGGCTCTTGCACCCAACAATAAAGTCGACATTCATCTTAAATAATTTACAAGGAAGATTAATAGACATTTATGTAAGATAGAAATTAAGCAAGAGAAGACGAAGAGCCTACGCATCTTTGCCAAAGATCAATGCAGCAGAGGAAGAGGAAGAAGAAGAAGAAGATCAGAAGAGCACAAAAGTCGAGGAAGACAAGCGAGAATTTGTAGATATCTGCTCCATCTCAAGAGCTTATAATATAACTGAGAGAGCATTTCCTCTAATATACCTTCAAAAAGGTATATTCTCCTTGATGATCTTTTCCTCCAGCCTTTTTTTAACAAAATTTACGTGTCTGAGATTTCTTAGAAATTTGCGTGCCACCTTCAAGTTGTTCACTGGAACCCATGACGCCCTTAGACTTTTTTAATAGCCACTTTGACCATAATATAGTCTAGAAAAAATGATCATCGAGCACCTTATTTAGATATTGAACTATGATTTGTTCGTGAATCACAACCCGAGGAATATATCATAAATAGAGAGGGGGAGAGAGAGACAGTCTTTATTCATGAAATAATCCCCATATTTATTTATGGGGGAGATAATATAATAGGATGATGTTACATTTTTGTCTCAGTTTTAAATGAGGTTTTACATAATATTATTGTATTTCACATACATAAGTCTATCACTCGGCTGCTCATATATGAATAATGATTGTTCACTTCTTAATCCTTTTAATTTTCCTTTAATCATAAAATTATCTCCCTATTTACATTTTTACCCCTATTTTTATAAGTAATTGCTACGATTTTTAATGGCTACTTCGACCATAGTATAGGCTTTTGTGGCTCTAGAAAAAAATGATCATTTAGTAGCTTAATTCGGTTTTTCTTATCTTTATGTATCTCTTGCATTTAGATTCAATAGGAAAGGAAAGAGGGGAGATCAAATGTTTTAATCAATAAACATTTTATAGATCAAATATTTTTATCAATAAAGATTATATGTGTTCTTACGCTTTCCTTTGAGCCAAAATATCAAAGCTTCTTTATTCTCAACCTCATTAGTGACCTTCTTGTGGTTTATAGTGATCTTGTTGAGAAATTAATAGTGCATTTTTCTTAATGGAGATTGTTGAGTGATGCCATTGTGTCAAGAATTAAGAAATGGATAATCTTAGCCCATAAGACTAAGTGGAGATTTTTATAACCACCATTTTTTTCCATCACAAGAGTTGATTAACACTTTCTTAACTGAATAGAATCATTGTGCATAATGATTTAACCCTTGAGGATGGAAATTATTAATTGATGTGGTATTAAAAATTTATGAGACATAAAGAATTAATAATGTGTTGCCCAAAGATACCATTGTAAGATGATGGTCATTGGATAATGCATAATTAATTCATTTAGCCTCGGTAGAATCCATTGTTTTGCTAGACAATTATATATTAATTGACTTTCTAATAAACATCTATTCTTAAGCAAGTTGTTAGTAAGGCTAAATCTTGTAATTATTGTCTATTCTAATATTCCACCAAGAGCTTCAATTTTGGCTTCTTACGCATCTTTGCCAAAGATCAATGCAGCAGAGGAAGAGGAAGAAGAAGAAGAAGATCAGAAGAGCACAAAAGTCGAGGAAGACAAGCGAGAATTTGTAGATATCTGCTCCATCTCAAGAGCTTATAATATAACTGAGAGAGCATTTCCTCTAATATACCTTCAAAAAGGTATATTCTCCTTGATGATCTTTTCCTCCAGCCTTTTTTTAACAAAATTTACATGTCTGAGATTTCTTAGAAATTTGCGTGCCACCATGTGCGTGTGATAAATAGTTATCAATCCTTTTTTATTCATAAAATAATCTTCATATTTATTTATGGGGGATAAAATATAATATGATGTTGTTACATTTTTGTCTCAGTTTTAAATGAGGTTTTACATAATATTATTGTATTTCACATACATAAGTCTATCACTCGGCTGCTCATTTATGAATAATGATTGTCCACTTCTTAATCCTTTTAATCTTCCTTTAATCATAATATTATCTCCCTATTTACATTTTTACCCCTATTTTTATAAGTAATTGCTACGATTTTTAATGGCTACTTCGACCATAGTATAGGCTTTTGTGGCTCTAGAAAAAAATGATCATTTAGTAGCTTAATTCGGTTTTTCTTATCTTTATGTATCTCTTGCATTTAGATTCAATAGGAAAGGAAAGAGGGGAGATCAAATGTTTTAATCAATAAACATTTTATAGATCAAATATTTTTATCAATAAAGATTATATGTGTTCTTACGCTTTCCTTTGAGCCAAAGTATCAAAGCTTCTTTATTCTCAACCTCATTAGTGACCTTCTTGTGGTTTATAGTGATCTTGTTGAGAAATTAATAGTGCATTTTTCTTAATGGAGATTGTTGAGTGATGCCATTGTGTCAAGAATTAAGAAATGGATAATCTTAGCCCATAAGACTAAGTGGAGATTTTTATAACCACCATTTTTTTCCATCACAAGAGTTGATTAACACTTTCTTAACTAAAATAGAATCATTGTGCATAATGATTTAACCCTTGAGGATGGAAATTATTAATTGATGTGGTATTAAAAATTTATGAGACATAAAGAATTAATAATGTGTTGCCCAAAGATACCATTGTAAGATGATGGTCATTGGATAATGCATAATTAATTCATTTAGCCTTGGTAGAATCCATTGTTTTGCTAGACAATTATATATTAATTGACTTTCTAATAAACATCTATTCTTAAGCAAGTTGTTAGTAAGGCTAAATCTTGTAATTATTGTCTATTCTAATATTCCACCAAGAGCTTCAATTTTGGCTTCTTACTTAAGGAATAAAACTTTTTTAAAGTGTTGAATTCAAATTTGTCCTGTGAGACATGTTTAAAGATCAGAGTGATATGAATCAGAGACGAGAGAGAGAGTTAGAGAGGTAAGGAGAGGGAGATCACACACAACCTTGCCACACGGGGGTGAACTAGGGTATTCCCTGGCTCTGTGACCCATCTTATATATAAAAGAGAAATTACAGACAAGAGGGAGAGAAAACTCCCCTTAGAATATGGGTCTAGATTCAAAACCTAAAAAGCGTCTTTTTTATATATGGGACCTCCTATTTATAGAAAATAGATGCACCCCTACTTTAATGAGGGAGTTATAAGATATTATTGTCTTTTTATATTTTGGAATGTTTTTTTGGCATATTTTGATGTATCTGGATTCCTTGCCCGACGAATTTTTTGTTCGGTCAATCAAGATAGCGTTGATCGGTAAGCCATTTTGCTTGGATGTTGAGTGACTTTTGTGTTTGGAACTTGTTTGGGTTTGAACGTTGAGATCGATTGGATCTGGGTGGTCTGCCAACGATGGCTAGCTGGTTAGTCTTGGGTAGTCAGCCCAGGATGGCTGCTCGAAAGACGGTGGCCAGCCATAGATAGCCAGCTGGTCCTTTGCTGACCATCGACCATAGATGACCGATCTGTCCTTTGCTGACGGTCGACCGGCCGGAAGGTTGTGTTCCGTCTTGTAGACTGAAGAGCAACTGTTCTTTGTACTCTCCGTCATACATGATTGTCTACTTTTGGTCGGTCAAGCGGGTCCTTGGTAGGTACATCTTAAGTCGCTCAGTTTGCTTTGAGTCCTTCAGTCGAGCATTAGTATTTAATCTGGTCCATCGGTCTACTTCAAGATCCATGCAGGTCATTTTTAAGTGTACATAAAGGAATCCAAAAAATTTTTTAAATTATTTGAACTTGGTCCAATAATTTTCAGTTTTTTTATTGAATAAAAAAATAATATTAAATCTTTCTCAATCTTAGTTTTATTGTATTCTCACTAGAGTTTAGTTATCATGATGATTATAAATTCTTAAACTCTTAATATTAAAAAGATGAACAATTACATTTCATCTCTTAACACTCTAAACAATATTTTTCTTTATGTTTTTCTCCCTTCCTCTCACCCTAACTCTTGAAAATATTGGTTTTCTCATGCCATCGGAACTCATTACTTTATAAGAACATTTACATATATACCGATCAATTCCTATGTATTTACATACCTGATGCGTGCTAGAAAATTTATTGCGGTAGAGTAATGAATTATCGACTTAGTGTTGCACGGGGATTCATCAGATATTCAAATGAAAGGGAAACAACCTGTGATGATACCAGAAGTTTTAACGTGGAAAATCCGTAAAGAGAAAAAACTACAGCGTCTGGCTAAGTTATAAAAATTCACTATAGATTGATGATAACATATGCCCCTTGTCCCACAGACAGGAAAAGTGTTACAAGATTTTCATATTACTGCGCCGCCTGACTTTGTTGGTCAGCAGTGGTCTATAGCGATCGACGGTGGTCGACGACAGTAAATGGCGGGCGGCGGTAGTCGGGGGAGGG